AATGGCCTTCTGAAAGACTGAAGCAGGTTATTATTATTATTTTTTTACTTTATTTTATGCGTGAATCTCACATTTCCTTCCGGAGCATCGTATTAGTGATAGCGATATTCTTTTGGTTGCGTTTGGAACTTTACGCCAGTTTTAGTGTCGCACGCTGGAATTTTTGCTGCTAAATTTTGAACGCTGTGGCTATATGGCCGGTAACCGGTCAAGGTTTTCAAAATACTAAATGGCCGGCAGTTCTATATTCTTAGTAAATTTCACAAAATCGAAAGATTCCAGCTAATCTAAACTATAACATGTCGTGATCCTGATCAAACCAGCCGGTTTTGTGGGATTTCTATATCATTTTTTTGGTGGTCGCGAGTCTTTGGATGTTCGTGTGTCACAAAACATGATTTCCTCCTCTGAGCCCAGCGCAAACCAAACACTAGACTTGAGATCTGTAAAGCATTTCACGATCGCTTGACTTTTCTAAATCGACGTATGATAGTTTAGATTAGCTGGAATCTTTCGATTTTGTGAAATTTACTAAGAATATAGAACTGCCGGCCATTTAGTGTTTTGAAAACCTTGACCGGCAGTCGAGCTGAAAAGTGTGACAAAACATGGTTCAGCGTAAACCAAACATTAGACTTGACATATGTAAAGCATTTCAGGATCGCTTGACTTTTCTAAATCGACGTATGATAGCTTAGATTAGCTGGAATCTTTCGATTTTGTGAAATTTACTGAGAATATAGAACTGCCGGCCATTTAGTATTTTGAAAACCTTGACCGGTTACTGGCCATACAGCCACAGCGAATTTCGAAACCATACAACATGGTGCAACAAAAAATCATCTTTGGCAATATTAAACTGCCTGGCTCTTGAATGCTGATTCCAACATTGTTTCCACACGAAGAAAATGTTGTCGGTCCGATACGTTTTTTAGCTTTCTCTCTACTTTGGCAAAAACGTTGTTTAATACCAAAAACTAATAAATAACAATGCAGTCAAGTGCCGTGGAGGCGTCGTAACAATTCCTGCACACATTACAAACTGAGTTATAGCTACCCGTATTTCGTAACTTTATGTATATGAGCTTTTTAGACCTAGCTGTAGCGATTTAAAATATATTTCGATTTTTTTCGAAAACAAATTAATTTTGTTCAGCCCAATAATCAACCTTATATGGCTGTTGTGTATGTCTGTTCATTAAAAAAATAACGCTTTATTTTATTACCTGTCTTTCAGATGAATGATGAAGCGATTTTACTCAGTTGAAGATATATTTTGTCTTGCATAATGAGTAAGTAGCACAGTGATTTGTGTTCAGTATCTGCCCATAAAGTCTTATACATCCCACCAACCATGAGCAAAGTTAGTGATACACCAATCACCAACAACCACGGTGGTAGTCCTACGCTCCACACTAGGGAGTTTAAGATACGGAGACTACGGACTACGAACTACGGCTGGACGAGCGTTGTCCTTTGTTCGTAGCACTGGGTTGAGTCGTGCAAATATAGAACGTTAAGATTGCACTACAGACAGTAAACTACGAGAGAAGAGGCGGAGAGGGAAACAAGACGCAAAGATTTTCTTGTTTTCATCACAGTTCACAAAAATGCAAGTCAGTTTTGCATGTGATCTTATCCTTAGAACAATGAACAAATTCTTCCATACTTGAAGGAAGCAATTACGTCGGGTGAAATTGGAAAACAAAGTTTTGGTTACACAGGTTTTATTTTTTCGCCCATGAATACTTATGTCAAATATTAAAAAAAACTAGACAGAAATAGTAATAGCTCATTTATTAGATTTAGAGGATGACTTCTCCCACTACTGATCTGATGTAGTTTGAAGTATTGAAATGCCGAGTTTCGATTGTCTCGAAGATGTTTACATCATTTTCATTCAGCAAATGGCGCGATTAAAAAACTCGCATAAACAAAGGTTACACACGTAGAAAGACACAATGATCAATTCGACCAAACATTGAAACTTTTCAAGTGCGAAGAGAAAGTAAATTACCTGCATGATTTCTCTTCTCCTACGTCGTCAATCTGAATTCTGCGTATAAACATCTGAGCTTAATATGAGCTTAGCTAGAAAGATTTGAATCACAACAGTCGACTAAAAGCGTAAATCTGAGCAGAAATTAGACACAACATACATATTTCGCTTCCCTCTCACTTAAAGCAGGTGAATTGAAAACTTTTTTACGAAAAGATGAGATTCTTGAGTTACCGGACGGCAAAATACGAGCAAAATGTTCTCCGTAGTCGCGACTACGCGAAACAGCTCAACAACTCACCGTAGCCGCAGGACTACGCGGGAAAAATGAACAGTCACGTGGTTTTGATCATGCGCAGTAGCATGTTTATCCGTAGTCGTAGTCCGTAGTCGCCGTATCTTAAACTCCCTACTATCGGCTAATGAAGACCTGCAGTACGCTGTCGAGACGTCGGGATCAATATCTAAGTGGTAGTCGTGAGATTAATTAACCATGATGAAGAATATCTTTCATGAAAATTTTACACAGCTTGTAGATACTTCAATGTCTCTCAATTTTAAATTGCGCTGTATAAATTTTCCACCTCCATCTTCTTAATTTTCTTTTAATTTTTTTGATTGATCTTTTTTATTGTTATTTATTTTTCTTTACTTTGCGTTGCTTTGCTGTTGATCCTTTGCTTTGCTTAGCTTTCATATGCTTTCATTTCCTTTATTATGCATGCTTTCCTTTTTGTTCCCTTTCTCCCATTTCCTTCCCTTCCTTTTCCTTTCTTTTCATGGCGTTTTCGTTTCTTTTCTTTGTTTATTTCCATTCCTTTTCTTTTCTTCCATTTCTCTTCCTTTGACTTCTTTTTCTTTTCTTTCTTTGGTTTTGCGTGTTTTCCTTTCCTTTCTTTTCATTTCCTTCCTTTCTTTTCCTTTGTATTGCTTTCTGTCTTTCCCTTCCTTCCATTTCTTTCCCTTCCTTTCATTTCCCTTCCTTTCATTTCCTATCCTTTCCTATCCCTCTCCTTTCCTTTCATTTTCTTTAGTTTTCTTTCTTCTCCTTTCCTTCCTTCCCACCCATCCTCTTTATTCCTCTATCATGCTACTATGTTACTCCCTGCTGATCTGATCCTAACTCATTCTACCATTTCCTTACTGAACTAAGTATAGGAAACCATGAAACCAGCTGTATTCCAAAGACTTCCCATCCTACTCTATCCCATTCTAAATAAACACATTGAAATCTGCCAAGCTGATTGCACTATGAAAACAATCAACTTTACAAGACATAAACAGGTCACTGATAGAAGATTGCAGCCACTGACAGTCAATTTGTCATTATATTGTGGCTCATCAGAACTGTCGTAATGGCCCACGTTACAAATCCCATTCCATCCCATTCAATCCTACTTCTCCTATCTATTCCCATCCTTTTGACCTCTTTAGCTTGTATGTTTTGTTTTTCCAATACAGATCATGTGATAATACTCCACAAAACTGTTTCTTTCAAATTTTGACTTATTCCAGCTTATTCATATGCATATCTATGCATAATGTATTAAAAGACAAAGGGCCAAGTTCCCCAGGGATCTCTATTGGGTAAACAAAACATACAAGCTAAAGAGGTCTATTCCATTCCATACCCTTCTATATCATCCCTTCCCATCATCCCTCCTAGTTCATTCCATGCTTTTCTTTTTTTTCTTAACCATATAATCCTTTCCTATTGCATCTGATCCTTGTCTGCTCCATACCATTTAACTAATCTTATTTCTTCTCATCCCAATGCACCCTATCCTGAGCTACAACCTATCTCATCCCATCTTATCATTTTCATCATCATTACCATCATTATCATCATCATCATTATTTTTTTCCTCCTCATAATTGACCGATGTCTTTCTTGATTGACGATTCAGCTCTGAAAAGCTATAAGTGAAATAAGCATGTAGCGTTTTTGCTATAATTGGTGTAAGAGGAATAAGGATAGGAAAAGTGGTTGGTAAAAACATTTCAAGTAGTTAATAACTCCAATTATTCTAGAAAGAAAGCCGAGACAATAAGTTACTAATGAAGGTTTTACCACAGGTTTTAATCTGATTCAGCCATCGCTGATTCAGCAGTTGAAAAAAATCTTGGACCAGTACCCGGATGATGGACAGATTCTGAAGGTGAGGCAAAGGTTATTAAAAGGCTATAATCTCAACTCAATATAACCAACCTGACATATGAAAGATTACTTAACATAACAATCGTGCCTCCTCCCAAAGAGGTTGAATTATGAAACATTTGGTAGCAGACCACTTCCACTTCTTGATGACATATCGACCAGACGTTTTCTTTGATAGTTTATTTATAGCGGGAGGTTCAGTTGTCCTCTTGTGAAAGAACAAATGTATCTCAAAAAATCAAAAACGCTTGATCGCAGGTTCGAAAATAAGTTAAGTCTTTTGTTGCGTTGCGTTCGAGGTACGAGAACGCAGCCCCTAATTTGTGTTGGGTGTTCTGTGCATTATTGGGTGACCTGTGCAATTAATAAGAGAGGTTTTTATTGAGATTTCATTTTCGTTCGTCGACACACATTTGCCTCGCTTTGAGGCGCTTGCTTACGTTTTGCCTCACTTTGACGCGCTAACTCATGTGGTGATTCTTGTGTCCTCGGCGTTCATCTTTCAAAGGTTTGCTAAGGTCTGATATTCTTCGTAAAACGTTCATCTTTTCAAAAGTTTGCTGAATCTTCGTAAAGAGTACATCGATCTGTTATTGCTGAATCGTCCAAAGCGTTCATCTTTCAGGAGTTTACTGTTAAATTTTACTTTGGATTAAGCCTTCATATTTTTCAGCATGGTTCGTCACTGTCTTTGTAAAATGTCTCCGACTACTGGTGCGTGCATCAAACCGGGTTTAGCTCGGCGGCCGTTTTGTCACAAAGTAAATTTACGAGTTGTGTAGCTCGGCAGCCGTTGTGCCACAAAGTAAATCTACCGAGATGTGAAGCTCGGCGGTTGGTCGCGAGTCTTTGGATGTTCGTGTGTCACAAAACATGATTTCCTCCTCTGAGCCCAGCGCAAACCAAACACTAGACTTGAGATCTGTAAAGCATTTCACGATCGCTTGACTTTTCTAAATCGACGTATGATAGTTTAGATTAGCTGGAATCTTTCGATTTTGTGAAATTTACTAAGAATATAGAACTGCCGGCCATTTAGTGTTTTGAAAACCTTGACCGGCAGTCGAGCTGAAAAGTGTGACAAAACATGGTTCAGCGTAAACCAAACATTAGACTTGACATATGTAAAGCATTTCAGGATCGCTTGACTTTTCTAAATCGACGTATGATAGCTTAGATTAGCTGGAATCTTTCGATTTTGTGAAATTTACTGAGAATATAGAACTGCCGGCCATTTAGTATTTTGAAAACCTTGACCGGTTACTGGCCATACAGCCACAGCGAATTTCGAAACCATACAACATGGTGCAACAAAAAATCATCTTTGGCAATATTAAACTGCCTGGCTCTTGAATGCTGATTCCAACATTGTTTCCACACGAAGAAAATGTTGTCGGTCCGATACGTTTTTTAGCTTTCTCTCTACTTTGGCAAAAACGTTGTTTAATACCAAAAACTAATAAATAACAATGCAGTCAAGTGCCGTGGAGGCGTCGTAACAATTCCTGCACACATTACAAACTGAGTTATAGCTACCCGTATTTCGTAACTTTATGTATATGAGCTTTTTAGACCTAGCTGTAGCGATTTAAAATATATTTCGATTTTTTTCGAAAACAAATTAATTTTGTTCAGCCCAATAATCAACCTTATATGGCTGTTGTGTATGTCTGTTCATTAAAAAAATAACGCTTTATTTTATTACCTGTCTTTCAGATGAATGATGAAGCGATTTTACTCAGTTGAAGATATATTTTGTCTTGCATAATGAGTAAGTAGCACAGTGATTTGTGTTCAGTATCTGCCCATAAAGTCTTATACATCCCACCAACCATGAGCAAAGTTAGTGATACACCAATCACCAACAACCACGGTGGTAGTCCTACGCTCCACACTAGGGAGTTTAAGATACGGAGACTACGGACTACGAACTACGGCTGGACGAGCGTTGTCCTTTGTTCGTAGCACTGGGTTGAGTCGTGCAAATATAGAACGTTAAGATTGCACTACAGACAGTAAACTACGATGTGTAGCTCGGCAGCCGTTGTGCCACAAAGTAAATCTACCGAGATGTGAAGCTCGGCGGCGCCATTTGACCATGACTTGTGATATTTTCGGCACCGGACAAACGAACACTTTAACTCTATGTTATTTATTAAAAAAAATTACTGGAAAAGTTATTGACGTGAGCCGCACACACGTACCATTGAAGGCTTTGATAGGGTTAGTGCAAAGTTTGAATTCAGGTGTGAAAGCTTTTAAACCAGTAAATTCAAAGTAATTCATTTTGTCAACAAGTTGATGATTGGATGCTGTTAAAAATAACAGAGGAAATTATCCGAAGAAATGTTTTTGAAGAAAGAAAAAAAATCCCGGGTTAAGAACTAATTGGCCTTTGAGAAACTGCGCCCTGTAACTCACGCCAGTGAAACAAAATGTTCCATTTACACGTCCGACGCTGGCCAATGTCTCCTCCGATTAAAAGCACTTGACACCGAACCATACGATATCTTTTGAAAACGTCCTTAAAATGATACACAGTTCAAATACAGGTTTCGCTGTACGCAACCCTTACGTTCAGAATATGCCATAATCTTATTTATCTACATCGCAACCATCCTTCCGCCTCAACAAACATATCGAACGCACTCTCCTAACCTCCGATTACTCCTAGTTCTAACGTAAATTAATGCCACTGTATTTGTAAAAGCATTTAAAAACATCTACTGAATACTTCGTTGGATTTGATTTATTTGTATCAGGAGCTCATTCAAAATGCAGAAGATGCTGGAGCAAATCGAGTTAAATTTCTTCATGACCGACACAGCTATGGAAAGGAGAACCTACACAGCAAGGAACTTGCAAAGTTTCAGGTCAGCCTACTATAACCTTGTCCTATCTACTGTTTAGTCAGTAAATAAGAGAATTTATCAGTTAGTATTAATCTGCAACGGTTTCTTAAGAGCCCTCGCCCTATTTTAGAACTTTATTCAAGGCCCAACGACGTCTTATAAGGGAAAACTGATAATGCCAAAAAAAAACTCAAATATATTTTGTGAGTGCAGTTTATGTGCTTATTTCACGGCTTAATAAGACGAAATGTTTAACTCACGACTACCCACTATGTCTTTCCCGACTGTGCTCGTAAAATGCTGGAAAGTTGCTTACTGGAACGCCAAAAGGTTCTAAAAAATTGCCAAAAATCCAAAAAGTTGCTACCTAAATTTCAAAATTTGCCACCTAAATTTCTTGATATTTTTATATAAACGTTAATTAAAAGGTTTATTTTTCGTTCTTCACAATAATTACTAACAACGGTCAAGAAAAATAGCGTGAAACCTAGTTATTTTTAATTAAAAAAATTAAAAATTAAAAAAAGAATTGATAAGCTTTCAAGAAATTCTCATGAATTGAAGTTTTCTATGAAATCGTTGACTTTTTCGTGCTTGATATGTGCTCTAAACCTATATTTTGCTCAAACGTTGCTCAGAAAGGCAAAATTTGCTCGAGGTTGCCAGAACCGCAAAATGTTGCTCCAAACACCAAAAGTTGCCCAGCACGATCGGGAAAGGCCTGCTACCCACGAGCACCTTGAAATAGTAAACTTTGTTATGAGAAGAAATAACAGCTCGATCCGTGTATTTTTGGAAGAAATGCGAGTTATTTTGTCGAAGTCTAAATGATGATGATGATGATGATAAACTTTATTTCAGTATCAGGTCTTCTAGCTGGCCATGTAAGGCCTACTAATAGGGGACACTAAATTAAAATACTATCAGCTCTAACTAATTAATATATAAAAAAAATATATTTACAAAGCGTAAAATTTACAAAAATATACATCCTAAAAAAATGTCGATAAAACGTATTCGGATTTATCATATAAAATAATACTTTTTGATTAAGAGGTGTCCTTTTCGTCTAGAAAATGTCATTTATGTACAACATAGAAAGCAGTTTTTACAGCCCTCTGTGATTCCTTGTTCAAGATCTACCTTACGAATTTTCTTTTTAAAGCTGTAAATTGATTCTGCGTTTTTTACATCCTTGCTTAGTTTAGACCATATTACTGGGCCCACGTATCTCAGGCTATGTCTCCCGTAAGTTGTTGTGTTGTATCGAGCAATAAAAAAGTCACCAGAATTTCTGAGCCCATAGCGAGGTTAATTACTGGGCTACCTGTGGCACAGCCCAGTTATAAATTCGGCTCGTTTTTTCCTGGCACAAATCGCACTCTGGCGTGTTCAGCGCGTGCGCGAGATATAAGAGTATGCGTATAATAGGTCAGCGGTCTTCAGCAGAGTACATTCCGAGGAGCTCCAAGCGACTCAAAGCTATTAGCAATCTATCTTCGGTGGAAGCATACGAATGCAAACATACGAATGTAAACGCTGTTGATGGTTAGCCCACAGTACAAGATGGCAAGAGTACATTTTGGAAGTGGTATAGTTCATGAACTATATTATGCGAGAGACCCATTTACAAGCGAACTCTTCTGAGTGAGTCTTTATCAGGAAACCTTGTACAGTAAGTGAGCTACCTACTGAGTTAGAAGCTCTAAAAGAATCACCCGAATTAACTGTTAAACTCAAACTGTTCGGTACGTAAACATTACGAGCAACTGGATCAGTGAAATTCAACAGTGTTTTTCATCAACACAACAGCCTTATGGAAGAATTCAGTTCTTCAAAAGCCAGCTTTTAGGTAACAATATCCTTGCTTTTACACTTTATTTTGTGTTGATTTCATTGATTTTATCTTTCTTTGTTTTTATCATCATTTGTGCAATTATTGTAATCGCGTATTTAGTGATCAATCTTCTAATGCCGTATGTAGATGTTTATACAGAGGCTGTTGTTATTTCAATACATAAAACAAATCAGTTGACCAGAAATGTTTACAACGATTCCGAGATAACAGTAAAGGTGAAAGAAGATATAAGATCTTGCTATGCAAAGTACGTTTCTTGCTAGGAGAGATAAACAACGTGATCGTGAGCCTAGTCCTTTTGGGCCTTTTTACTGACCGAAATGACGCATTTTCCTACCCTTTCGTATACTTCAGCTAGTGAAATCTCTACTCTTTTGTATACCTCTAGCCTAAAAAAGGTACCCCTTTCGCGCGGAGCCTCCCCATATAGGTCATTATGTGGAGTGCCCCCCGGGATAAAGAGCGCCATCAGTAGCCCATTACTGGCGCCATATATGATCTCCGGAATGAACACTCTTATCTTATGCACACGCTAGCCTGTGTACAGACGTCCCTTCTATGATAGTTCAAAAAATTGAATGAGTTCATTTTCATCCGGTCGGTTCGCAGTGTATAAAAATACTACTGATAACAAACTAAAAAAAAACGTTTTCTGTCCATGTCGAACCAGTTTGGTTTAGTTTACACAATTTAACTCTGTGCGCCGCTTTAACTACAGCTCAATGGTATTGCACGCGATTAAAGAAAATTTGAGATGCGCTGAAGCTTTTCTCCTACGAACGGGACGACTTTTTTATTGTTTTCTTCAAATATAGAGACAAGCTGGCAACAAAACGAAAAAAAGTTCAGATAAACTAGAGATACCGTGTGGCACGAAATTGTTGCGGGTTGTATTTTTTACGATTTTTGCGATTTTTCCAGCGATCCGCAAAAATAATCCACCCCCCCCCCCCTCAAATTACCGAAAACATTTTTCCCGCAAAAATTTACTCCAGAGTATTAAATCTCTGACTAAAATTTTTTACTACACAAAAATACAGCACTAAGAAATCGTGTCTGTTCAATTACAACTCGCCTCTTCAATTCAGAAACAAAACGGTATACAATTAATTGGTTTTACATAATGTACGCATACCGTAGTACTGTTTGAAAATCTGTATTTCTATTACAACCTGATTGCACATACATAACAAGAACGAAAACATTATCAATGCTGGATACTGGGTACTTTTTGAAAATTAATTCTCAGCAAGAAAAACCAATGTGTCCTAGTGTCGTGAATGCCATACGGCCGTTCTTCACGATATCACAGTTTTAAGCAAAAACAGGGTTTATTTCACAGCTTCAATCCTCACAGTACAATGGCTCGCTCACACACTACACGAAATCGTGACTTTCTTGAATCTATAAGCTTTAGTTTTTAATCCGATCTGTCAGCAGGTTCTCTTTCGCTCAGTTATGTTGTTAATTGAATTGAATACTTCGAATGTTTAACCCCTTCAATCAGTAAAATCTGACAGACGAGGGAAACTATTAATAACAAAGTTTAAAAGGAGTAAAACAAAGTCACGCCATCTCACAATCACGCTACACTCTTGCTTCATAACACCTAGTCTTGCTTTGTATCGACCATCAATTATCATTTTCGTTTATTTATAGTTTCAGTTCAAACAGTTTAATGAGACCCGTGGGTAGGGGTGGGGTCCAGCATGGGAATGGGTTTAGCAGGGTTACTTCTTTCTTTCATACGCTGTCAGCTGTCGGTTGTAGTAAACTTCTCGTTTTCATACAATACATAATTTCTGTCTAGTCTAGATTTTGTGGCAGCCCAGTATACACCTTCTGGTGTCTAGTCTAGCTTAAAAATGTCCTTTATGTACGGAGGGCATATATTGTACTTTACCTTATACATAATTATGGCTATATCCTGCAATCGGCGACAGCCTAGTGTCGTGAGTTTAGCTTTTCTCAAGAGCTCATCGTATGAACTTCTCGTATCGCAGTAGACGGTTCTTAACGCTCGCTCTTGTACTCGCTCCATCTTTCTGCTATCCGACGCCCGAACAGAAATGCCACACTGTATGACAGTATGTAATTTGACGCATTATGAAAGAAATGAAAACCTTAAGTTTGGCTGATGCTGTCAACATGTTTCTAAGCCTCATCAAAACTCCAGTCTTCCTAGATGCGTTTTTACATACCTCTCCAATATGCCTACTAAAATTCAAGTGCTCGTCAATGGTGACTCCCGGTAATTTCTTTTCAGAGTGACTCTCAATATCATTGTTCATAACATCAATTTTCATCTGTTTACTTTTATGCTTCGACCCGAGACTCATCGACTGAAATATTTCATGATTACACATGAGTAGATTGTCCTTATACCAGTTTGAAGTTTCCTTACCCTCATAGTTCAAAATACTTTCAACGTCTTCGATTCTTTCCCCGAAAGTATAAGCTTGATGATCATCTACATACATCATTACAGTGCACTTATCAGTTTGTATGTTATACATAAGTTCGTTTTGGAAAATATTCCACATTAAAGGACCAAAGTTAGACCCTTGAGGGCATCCCTTCTTGGTTTTCCGCCAATCACTCATGGTAAAGTCGAAGTCTAGCTTGCGATGGTGTTTGCAAACAAATAATCATTCCGTTTGCTCTTTATTTTCGATTGCTTGAAAACATAGTGCAGCAAAACGTACAACTCTATTGCTCTCTCAATTACAAAACTCAGTGTTGCTATTATTAAATCAGCTAACTGTAAATGCAATATTCTTAATAGGGACCCGCACTTTATGCTTACAATAACGCCGAGTTTAAGCCCAGTGATTGGGAAGGCATCAGAATGCTTTGTGAGAGCAAAAAGGTCAAGGATCCAAAGACAGTGGGTCGTTTTGGCCTGGGCTTCAAGTCGGTTTTCCATATTACAGGTAAGTACGTATTCACTGAAAATAACGGTTAGTTATTTCTTTTCCTTAACAGAAAACTAGCCACCAAGATTCGTGCATTAAGTTCAATTAATACACCAATACGTTCTAAAATGAAAAAGTCAGACGCTATATTTTAGGAATAAAACAATAATATTCTTAGTCTAAAATCGGCAGAAAAATAAAAATACTCAGCCTGGCCCGGAAAAAAAAGCTTTCTATTTTTTATTTAAAAAAAAGAGTGTACTAATATACTTTTTTAAATACATTACAAGTGCAGCACATGCAATGCAGCTGACAACAGCGTTTAATGTTAAAATAGGTTCACTTCGTTAATGTTATGCTTGCTCAAGTAACAATAATTCATCTCTACTTGATTCTCATATCACATTCTTACTTACCAACAGACCTACCAAGCGTCATGAGCAGCTCGCAGATCGGCGTAATTGATCCACACGAAAAATGCTTTGGAGAAATTGGAGAAAGACGTACAGGATACAGCTGGGACATAAGGAATGACCGTGACATCATGAACACCATACCAGACCAGTTTGCTCCTTACAGGGGAGTATTTGACTTCCCAGAGGACATTTTCACCAGAGGCTCGTACAAGGGTACTCTTTTCCGCTTTCCACTACGAACTGAGCCGTCCAAGTTATCAGAGACTTTGTATTCTGCCGAAAAGGTTAACGATTTGTTCAATGGCTTCATGGCTGATGCCCACTTGGTTCTACTGTTTATGCAACATCTTGAGAGTATTGAACTGTACGCTCGTAAAGAGTTACAAAGCAAACCCAGAAGAATGTTTCAAGTCAGAATATCCGAAGAAAGCCTTCCGTTGGTAAGAGAAAGGAGAAAGGAGTTTCAAGAAAGAGTCCCTAGCGGTCAGCTTTTACCCCAATCAGTCCACGTCACTTATCCAATTACGATTGAGGCAGTACAGTATTACCAAGGGGTAGAAGCAGGTAAATGCAGTCATTCCTTCCTTGTAACCAATTACGTCTGTGGCGGAAAGATATCGTCTGAATTTCAAGCGCTTGTTGTGGATCCAAGTCTCAGCTACCTACCCTTAGTTGGCGTTGCCATGGCATTGCCCTCAAGCCCCCAGGATCCCGTCCTAGAAATTCAAGGTCACGTGTTTTGTGTCTTGCCGTTACCGGTGCAAAAGACCAGTCTTACAGGTTTGCCAGTGCATGTGAATGGCTTCTTTGCCCTGACTCAGAATAGAGGTCATATCAAGTTTCCAACCGCAGAACAGGAAGGTCATCTATTAACTGACAAATACTTAAAGTGGAACCAGTATCTTTTAGAGGAGGCCATACCCCAAGCCTATGCCACGATGATTTTAGAAGCCATCAACGACAAGAGCTTCAAAGCGCAAGCAGCGACCGTTTACCGGTAAGTGACAACTGTAAGAAACTGCAAAGCTAGGAAGTGTAATCTGCGAATGTGATTCCCCGTGTTTGCTTCCCTTCTGCGGACCAAGTAGCCTCTGCTGTTTGTAACGTGTAAATGGAAGCACCCTTTTTAAAAGGCAAACATGATGAAACGTTAGCATATCAGTCATGAAATTGTGTTCTACGTAAGTTGGAAAACCAATAGCTCCCCGACCTCTAAGGAGTTCAGAAGGTAAGGTTTTAATATTAGAGGATGTTAGCATCAACAACGAGTACGAGTACGAGAACGACTTCAAGCCGTACTCGTACTCGAAGTCGTTTTCTCAGTTTTCTATGTTAGAGATGACACCGAGTTCGAGTTTATAGAAAATAAAATTATGGGATTCAGCATGACTGGGCGCCAAATTTGAGTCGAGGTAGCGCTTCCACAACAATTTCGAAAACAAAAAAACTGACTCTAAAAAACGTTCAAGACTGCTTGTTAATCGATTTTTCGAAGTAACACGAAGGATGGTTAGTCGCGGTCTTAAAACACGCTAAAACCCATCAAATTCAACACAACAACCACACTGGATAAAGAAGTAAGTATTCTTTATCGATATCTTCGACTGTTGGGGTATTTTCGACCAAATAATGGCAATTTTCGGGGTTATTTCGTAAACTTGTGAGGCCTGTGGAGAGACATGAAACTTTCCCGGGTAAATACAAATTTACTCTGTGTAGGAAATATCGCGTTCGGTTGCTTTTCCTCGACTTGAAAAGCAGTATTTTACATAAAACATAATATGAGGAATGTTCAAGATGATAAAGAGAGGCTAGAAACGAAAAGAAACTGCATTAAACGATCGGAATTTACCTTTGAAAACCAGCTCTTCCCAGTCGTTCTACCCACTTCGAGTTTTTGGTGAGAACTCGTCGTAATGCAACTTGACAGGACGACTTGAAAACGTGGAGATGCGCAGAACGGATGCGCAGTACGCAAAATCGCTGATCTTTTCTAGAACTCGTACTCGTTGTCGATGCTAACATCCTCTATTATCGCTGCAATGGTTAAAAAAGGTTTAGAGATCTTAACGATTGTCCAAGAAGTTTGGCAAAATATTCCCTCTAAAAGAATGAAAAATGGTAAATTTTAAGCTCTGTGAAACAAGTGTGAAAATGAAATAATCAGCATGTCACGAGCGTGGGACAAAGAATAAAATCTGAGTCCCCGAGGCAACAGAGCGTCCCACGCTCGTGACATGCTGATTATTTCATTTCCACATTTGTTTCACCGAGCTTAAAATTTACCATTTTTCATTCTTTCATCACACAGTACTACATCGACGTTGCTGATCCAAGTAGTATGCCGGACGCATATCAAATATGAACCTAATATATGGCCTCTCCTTAGCTCAAGTGGATAGAGCNAGGGGGGGGGGGGGGGGGGGGGGGGGGGGGGGGGGGGGGGGGGAGGGGGGCTACAGCCCCCCCAAATTTTGGGCAACTCAGATTGTTTGGGCAGCACGAGAAAATTTGGGCAAAGCCAGTTTTTAAAGACGTCTGCATGTTTTTATTATTATTATTTTGAAGAGATAAATATTTTTTCTATTTTACATTGACACGAGACAGTGGCTGCCTAGCACCTGACGAGTTTCTGCATGGTTATAACGGATTAAGGTATCATATGCTGAATTGCAATGGGCAATTTCCACTCGTGAATTTATCAGAATAAACTTCCGCCCAACTTTCTAGAATCATCTCCGCTCGTAGAACAGTGTATGACAGATAGCACCGGCAATGGGTCTGAAAGTGAAGAAGTGGCTGACTAATTCTCAGTTTGAATTACGAGAAGAATCTTATTTTTTTAAAAAAAGATTTATGGAGCGGTTTAAAAGTTATTCACTAATTTATTAAAGTAGACCGAAATGTTTACAAAACGGCTAATAAGAGCGTACTAATCAAATCCTTCTTTGTAGCAATTGGCCGGAGCTATCTCATGATCTTTCAACCACTTTTTTAAAAAGATTGAAACTACTATGAGGTGAAATTGCATGTCAAAAGCCCATCGTTTTCTAAAGATAAAATTTTCCCTTTTTTTACCGTATTTCCAACGATAAAAACTTTATCCCAAAATATCTCGATAACGCTCTTACAGATTCCGTTTTAACTTCACGAACATCGAGGCGACTATTGGAAGAAAAAGCTCCTGTGATCGATTTTGGAACAACAGTTCCCACGGAGAAATATTGCTGCAAGCATAATAGGTAATGGCTTCATTTCGTTGCTATGACAACTCCGATGTCATTGCAACCCTGATCACAACAAATTTTCATCTTTATCTAATACAACTGTGGTGGCAATTTTTCCAAATGTTTGTTTATGGCGACGTACTAGTTTATGCTCAAACTTGGCAGGTATTGTCTCCGAAAAACTGTATCGAGCCATTTCCATATGGCGGTACGGCCTATGTTGTTGCATCGGCCCTCGTTTCTTTTCGACTGTTTTGTAAAAATTTGAGCAACTTGCAAAAATTTTTTGGGCTAATGGTTTACCCCACCCCCCCCCCCTCCCCCTGGCAAAAAATAGCCCGTACGCCTATGAGAGTGAAGAACATAAGAAGTGGAAGCAGGTCTACACAATGACAATATATCAGTTCCTCTAAAAGGGTAGACCGTTAAGCGCATCGTTAGCAAGTCCTTAAGATACGCAGGGTAGAAATTGATATGGATACATTTATGAATCATGATTAACATAGTGTGTACTCTCAGATTGTAAAGTGATGTAGCTGCTGCTCTATCTAATAGCTGACTGTATGTTGATTCCCTGTCATGACTCAAGTTTTTCGCTATTTCTAGAGCTACAGAAGTGCCATACTACAGAACAATACTGAACATGTGGTAGAACTAAGGCCTTATACAATTTTAACATGGTGGAAGTGTTTACAAGCTTGCGGAATCTTATCATGACATTCAGTTGTTTGTTGACTTTTTTACAAATAACAAGACTTGTTTATCGAAATTCAATTGACTATCGATAGTCATTCCATGCTTACTTATTTCATTTTCACAATATTCCTCTGTTCCTTGGGTATATTCCCCGCGATCCTAGTGATCATAAGGACACCAGCTGCCGAAAGAAGACAAATCGCAGCGATATATCATGATGCTGCCTCCAAAGAAATTTAAATTGGCCTCTATCATTGCTCGTATTACCTTAACGGCTTGCATTTATCATTCATTTGAACTATAATGACTCGTTTGCTCTGTTGCAGAGCGTGGCCAGAGTTCTCACGAGTCAACCAGAAATGGGAGAGCGTTGTTGAATCATTGTTTGATATCCTGTCAGACAAGGAAATTATCTACAGCAAAGTCAATCGGGGGAAATGGCTTCTTGTTGAAGATGCAATTTTCAACCAGGTGCCTGAAAGACATCTTAAAGATCTACTTGAAAATGTCTTGATTGGAGCGAATGTTCCAGTTGTTTCTGTACCCAGCCACGTGATGGATGCCATCAGGTCTTTTACTGATGCTAAGAATATCACCGCTAGTGTTACGAGAAAAGAATTGAAGAAATCTGCCGCTTGTTATAAAAACCTAAAGAGGCAAGAAAAGCTGTGGCTTCTTCAGTTTTGTTTACAGGATAACCAATATGAAGACCTTTGTGACCTGGAGCTTTTGCCTCTCTCCAATGGCATATTTACCACCTTTTCAGTGCTTGCCGACGAAATCTACATCAGCTCCCCTAAGCATTCTCAAGATCTTCTACCTGGCCTAGAGCACCGCTTCTTGGATCAAAAGTTGGATTCGGACATCCTTCAAAAGTTGAATTGTGCAGCCATACAAGGTCAGTCAAAGCACAAGGTGGCACTGCTTCTTTCTGTTGGTGACACCTAAGTATGGCCTTTCCATTTATTGAGGGAACATTTTTCAGGATTTATCATTAGTGCAAAATTTCATGCCCTCATCGTCAGTCCCGCCTGCGTCAATTCTTGGCACTATTTTTTCTGTTTTTAAATAGGGTTTAAGAATACTAATTTATCCGTTTGCGATTCCTTTTGATCCCGTTAAACAATGTAGAAATTTGACAATTTACGTTTGGGAATGATTAGTCTCCTTGATAACCGTATTAGCTTACTCCCTTTAATGGCATATATATAGTTCAGATGATTGAAATCATGTGTACCAAGCTATCAGCACCAATTTGGTTGTTAACAATGCCATGATATTATCTTTTAGTTGGGTATTGTTTTTTGTTCCGTAGTGACATACAAAAATGTTAATATCCTTCCTTAAAATGATTCAGAAGCTATGTTTTGTTAATAACTATCTTAACCCTCGGACGTACAATGCATCCACCCACCGTAAGGTTTTTCTAAGTTTTTTCCTAGAGGATAAAACATTAGCACCTGAGGTTTTCAGTAGCTGTTCATTCATCCCTCGCGCAAATTTTGAGACAAGTTCAGTGATGGTCAGTTGCTATGGTTACGAGATATGAAGTCATAAGTAGCAGGTGGTCAAGCCATTTTTCGGTGAAAATACATGTTTTCCTAACTTCTTTCAACAATAAAGTAAATCTTGTGGTTAAAATCATGCAAAGTGCTTATTTATGTATTATTTTTCATGTAAAGCACAAAAAAATTACTATTTCTCGCGTTTTTAACCTGATTTCTAATCCTTGGTAAAATCCAAGATGGCGACCATTGTTGGTGACGTCACAGGCTTCCAGCAGCGCCACCACCCCAAAAATATACCTCATCTTGTTAAGAAGATCAAAGGCTTTCCGCTTAAGGTAAAATCATTTCGAAATACTGCAATATATCAAAAACTCCGGGGAGGGGTTCCTCCCCGCACTTTGTACCACGGGGGGTATGCATTGCGTGTACGTCCGAGGGTTAATTCAAAAGGAGTACCTGAAAACAGTAGACAATTTTGATAGCGACAGGAACTCACTTTTTACGTTAGTGATTTACTTTCATAGAATGCACGCAGCTACGACTTCTCTCCGAGAACGAAGTTGTAGTTCTTCTTAAAGAATCCCTCCCTTCCGACTGGAGTCAAGGAAGAACTGTTCTGTGGCACCCAGAAGATGAAAACCACAACCATCCCCCAAGAGACTGGATCGAGCTTATTTGGAGATACGTTCGCGACCATTTCCCTACAAGAGAGAGGCTGCACCGACTTCAGAACTTTTCCTTAATTCCAGTCAGCATGGAGCAGACGGCTGTTACTTTGAAGCCACTTGCTCAGCCTTCCACAGTCGTGATTAAAAGCCTGGGTGGGGACATCATTGATGATGGTCTGATACATGTCTTGACAAAGATGGGCGGGGTTGTCTTGACTGATTGTCCGGACTTTATACTTGATCACCCCTGTGTCTTGGATACCTTTGTCCATCGTCCTAATGTCCAAGGCATTTTCAAGACAATAGTGAAGTTAGCGTCCACGTTCACCGCTAAAAAGTTGTCCGAAGTCGTGAGAGGGCTTTCTCCCGGAGAGAAGCGAAGTTTGAGATCATTCCTTGCCAATGTCAAACCAGTGCAACTAGGAAGAAAAGAGAGCAATCTCATATGCTCCCTGCCGATTTTTGAGACGTTCTCCAAAAGGTTTGTGTCCAAAAATGAAGGTCTGTCAGCAGCGCTTATCGAATCTCTTCCCATTCAACCACGACGAGAACTCATTGACATTTCTGATGAAGAATCTAGGAGTTTAGCTCTTCTTCTTAAAGTCCGGATTCTTAAACTAACAGAAGTACTTTGCGAAATAGTATTTCCTGACATTCAAAGCGGCAAGTATGATGGAGGGCAGATTGATAAGTTAATGTCCTATGTGCTCTCGAATTTTGCACACATCATTCGTTCTGATGCTCACTTCAAGCGTAATATACAAGCGTTGCCATTTCTGCCAAAGGCGAATCACAGAAAGCGAGTGAAGGGGTCGGATGTCTTTGATCCCAGAAATGAGAACCTCCGGAAATTATTTGCCAACGAAAATGTTTTTCCCGCCGGCCATTTGTACAACGACTCTGTCGTCCTAAATGTTTTGGAAGAAGTTGGAATGAAGAGCGAATCAGATATCACTGCGAAAGACCTCGTGCAAAGCGCTAAAAACGTTAGCGTGCTTTCAGACCCTTCGAAAGCAAGAGAGAAGTCTCATGCAATTTTGCAACATCTTGACCGTCATCCGCAAAAACTTAAGAGCAAAATTGATGGCCAAGAGCTAGGATCGCTACTGATGAGAATCCAGTGGGTGCCAAACTTGAGCCAGAAAACATCAAACTTCCCACCTTCACTCCCATGGTGTAAAACAGGCGAAGAAGGAGGGAGACACTTTTTTAAGCCGTCTGAACTGAATAGCCAGCAGGTGATCAATCTCATCGGATCTGTAAAACCTGTCATCACCTTTGAGCCGTCGAATGAAATTGCTGGTCATTTTGGCTGGCTTAAGAAACCAGAAGTCTTGGACGTTGCTGAGCATTTGCAGAACGTAGTTAGGTGGTACACGGGTGATGAGAAGGCATACTACATGGTTTTAGTGAATGAAATTTATGCGTTTTTTAGAAGTGCAGACTATGCTGAGGTCAAAAACCTATTAAGCAATTTGCGTTTCGACTGGGTATGGAATGGAGATGGCTTTTCTTCACCAAGCCACGTACTTTCCAGTAAGCCAGCAATTGACTTAACACCCTTCGTTCGCCTTCTCCCTTCGGAGATGATGAAGCACTCGCAGTTGTTCACCCTTTTTGGTATGAGGACAAACAGCGATCCATCCCTTTTACTGCAAGTACTTGGCTTGATTAAAGACAAGTATGACGGTCAAAATTCTCCTGTTCTTAACGCCTCAGAGGTACGACACGATCTCCAATTATCAGTTGATATTTTGAACGAACTGGCAAGTGAGGAACTATCGCCAGAGCTTCAAAGAGAGATCCTTCTGCCTGTCCGTGTCGATGGAAACTTGTACGTCCGGCTTGAACCAGTCGAGCGCTGCATGTACACTGAACGAAAGGAATGGGCGCAGAGTGAAAGCGAAGACGGAGAGCAAAAATACTCCTACGTACATCATAATGTACCAAACAACACTGCTGTACGTCTAGGTGTTCCATCGTTAACACATCGAATGTTAGACCCAGATGAGCTGTCCATTGGAGAAGAGTTTGGACAGGAGGAGAAGCTTACTACTCGATTGAATAGGCTTCTAGACGACTACAAAGATGGCCTTGCAGTGCTTAAAGAGCTGGTACAAAACGCAGATGATGCTGGTGCCACTGAGGTTAAATTCCTGTACGATGAAAGAACCAACAAGGATGCCATGACCTGGCTCATTGACGAGGGAATGAAAAAATGTCAAGGTTCTGCCCTCTGGGTTTACAACGATGCAGTATTCACAGATGAGGACTTTGTCAACATCACCAAGCTGAATGAAGCAACCAAAGTGCACAACACTGAAAAGATCGGTAGGTTTGGACTTGGTTTCAACGCAGTATACAACCTTACAGATGTGCCGATGTTTGTAACTAAGAACTATCCTAACACATTTCACCTGGGAACCGCCATTAAGGACCCAAGAAAGCCAGGTATAAAGATTGATCTCAACAAAGACGTAAGAAACCTACAGACCTTTAGCAACCAGTTTAAACCATTCAATGGCGTATTTGGCTGTGATTTGAGCCTTGACAAAGAAGACAACTCATACGATGGTACGCTGTTCAGATTTCCATTGAGAACAAGAGAACAGGCAGCAGTCAGCGAGATCAGAGACAAGTGTTACGACGACCACGAAATGAGGGAACTGTTAGAAATGTTTCTCGATAAAGCAAACACGGTTCTTCTTTTTACGCAAAACGTATTCCGCGTTGGAGTGTACTTTTTACCAAAATCTTTAGGGCAGAATCCACAGCCGTTGCTAATGTTTCAGGTCAACAAATCACTCACCCAAGGAGGAATACTGAGAGAATTGTCTTTCCCTATCGCACTACCAGACACTTCGCACAAACTGAGTGCGGAACAGAAGAAGTTGATGGTGCAGTCTAATTTTCTTCAAGCATCCTCCAATGTTAAAAGACTTTCCAAGAGTAGAAGAGTCAAACCAAGTGAATTCCCTAAATCATCCATTGTTGTTGATGTGGAATGCGTTTTAACTCAGCTTGGAGCTAGTTTTTTTCAAAAAGAGAAGCCCCCTGGAAGAAAACGTGAAAGCTGGTTGATCGTGTCCTCAATGGGGTGTGGAGAGTCAATGGAGTTTTCCGAAAGCGATCCTAGTCTTCTTCCTTCCGGGGGCGTAGCTGCTCAGTTATTTAGTGTGGACTGCAACACCTTTTTGCCCACACCAGTAAAGAATGGAACGGTTTTCTGCTATCTTCCACTCCCGATACACAGTGGCCTTCCAGTTTGCATAAATGGTGCATTTGCAATCGATTCTAACAGGCGTCGTCTGCAGGGCAAACTTGAAGACGACAAGACATGCTATGGCGAGGAATGGAATAATGTTCTAATGACTGATTCTATATCTACTGCTTATCTGTGCCTCCTCGAAGACCTTAAGAAAATTGTCCCCAAAGACGGATGTTATGCTTTCCATTCACTGTGGCCGAGGGCTTCTGACGTAAGCGAACAATGCTGGTCTATTACAGAGTCATTCTACAAGCAAATTGCTAATGGATCTCATGCTCTGTTTTCCAATGGAAAAAAATGGGTTAACATTACTCAAGTGGTTTTTCTCCATCCAGCCCTTCGCACGGATCCTGAAATTGGAGAAGTTTCATTTGCTGTGTTTTGTAACTTCCCTAAAGGAAATGATGTGGTGATTGATTTGCCAGCCGACGTATTCCAGTGTTTTGAACGTTGTGATCTGCTAAATGTGCTACGAAGTAAAACATACGACAAGTTTCGATTTTTCCGTGAAGTTTTCTTTCCAAACATTTCAAGTGTTACTTCAGAACAGCGGGATGTTCTCGTGCTATATGCACTAAATCAAAACAGCAAAAAGTTGGACGACTTGATAATAAACAACGCTTGCGTTCCAGTGTCGCCTAATGGAAAGATGCTCAAGCGGCCGAGTCAGTTAGTGAATCCCAAAAAAGAAGCTTCCTCCTTGTTTTTCCCAGTCGATGGTAGGTTTCCCTTTGGCGACGAGAGTACATTTTGCAACCCACAAGTGCTTGCCAAACTAGAGGTACTTGGAATGAACTCACACGATCTTCCTTGGGAGGATATTGCAGAAAGAGCAGAGAGTGTCCAACGAGTTAATTTAGTGGACAGTAAGGCGGCAGTAAAGCGTGCTAAGTTTTTGATAGAATTCGTACAAAAGCAGTTGAAAGTGAAAAATGAAGGCTCCTTGGAAGGCATCATTTCTCGTATTGTCAATGCTGAGTTTCTCCCAGTACTAGAGAGACCGAAATCATTTCCCCTTCGCTGGAAAAGCGAAGATTATCGGACGTCTCGAAGGCTTTTGGCAGCCCCAAAGGACGTTTTTCTTCCTTCCAACAAATACCTGGTTTGTTGTACGGAGTTAGTTGTCGACCTAGACATCCCCAAGAAAGTGACAGAATTGCTAAGATTACATGAAAAAAGAGCTACTGCAGAGCACGTTATGAAACAACTAAGTGAAGCCATTTCCACCAGCATTGGTAAAATGGATCGTAAGAGTTTAGACGAAGTGAGCCGCGTTTGCACAGAGGCTTATACGTTTCTACAAGAAAATATTGCCAGCTGTACGTCCTCCGTTGAGGTATTCCTGTCCAAGAGGCCGTTCATTTTAGTTGGAAGGCGCTTTCTCTCCGCAGATGAGGTCGTCTTTCACGTGAAGACTGACTGTTCCCCTTTCCTGAACAAACTTCCAGAAAATTTATCCGATTCTTACTCCAAACTCCTGAGATTCAGTGGTGTTAGAGAACAATTCGAAGCGAAAGACTATATTTCAGGTCTTCTAAAAATAAAACAACAGTTTGGAGAGACTCAACTCGTTGACCGAACCTTGCAGGTGGCAGTCAACATGGCTATCGAACTTGGAGAGACTGTGAGAAATCGTAATGAAGAATGGTATTTTGAGGAGGAAAGCTCGAATTATATTTATCTTCCTGATTCTGGAGGGAGAATGCTTGCAGTAGCTGACCTTTGCTATAAGGATTGTCCGTGGATGCCTGATGATCGAGAGGAACAGTTCATTCATGAAAAAATTCCCTGGTCGACCTGTGAACAACTGGGAGTTAAAACACGCCGAGAAGGGGCCAACGTTGTTGTGCTATAACCCAAAGGAAAACCCGTTTTCCTTCTCGAGTGTTATCGATTGAAACGGATTTTGACAGGCTACCCAGGCGAGAAAGAAATTTTAAAAGAGCTTCTTCAAAATGCAGATGATGCCCAAGCAACCGAAATTTTCTTTGTCAAAGACCCGAGACACCATCCTGATGAAAGAGTGTTCCAAGAGAGTTGGAAGCCTCTGCAAGGTCCTGCACTTTGTGTGTATAACAACACACCATTTACCAATGCGGATATTGAGGGAATTTGTAACCTCGGAAAGGGCAGCAAAGGAGAAGATCCAAACAAGACTGGTCAGTATGGAGTTGGGTTCAATGCTGTGTATCACTTGACTGATGTGCCGTCATTCAGGTCGAAGGGTGAAGAAATTGGAGATGTTTTCTGCGTGTTTGACCCTCACTGCAAGTATGTTCCGTGTGCGAGTGATGCAAAGCCAGGAAGAATGTACAAAGACATTGATAAGTTGAAGAAAAAGTTTCCAGATGTTTTTCCATGTTATCTTGAGAAGTTGTTTCCCATAAAGAATTCAACCATGTTTCGATTTCCGCTCAAGTCGCAGGAAATGGCTGAAGATTCCAAAATATCAAAGAAACCTGTTTCCGTACATCAGCTTGATGGAATGATGAAAGATCTGAAGCTGGAGTTGTTTGAAGTTCTTCTGTTCGTTAACAATGTGAGGAAGATTAGCATTGCAGAGATAGCCAGAAGTGCAAAACTGGCAGGTATCTACTCCGTTGAAGTTGTTATGACTAAAGAAGATGAGAGTAAAAGACAGCGTTTCGCTGATTACATGAAGCAAGTTGGAAAGCAAGCCAAACACAAAAATTTCCTCCCTACAAGTATACAGCCGAAAAAGTGCATTTATATCATGACACTTCGTGACAGCGTTGGTGAGGAGGAGACTTGGTTGGTTGTACAACAGGTCGGCTTTGATAAGCCTGTTGAAAAGAGTATCGTTGACGCCTTCAGAGACGAAAACCTTGGGATGCTACCTCGGGGCGGCGTGGCTTGCCTTCTAAGCAGCAGCAGGTCAGTTGAGCAACGAAAAGGTAAAGAAGGTAAAGCATACTGTTTTCTTCCACTACCCTTCAAAACCAATTTGCCCGTTTATATCAATGGTCACTTCGCTTTGGACCATGAGGCCAGAAGAAATTTGTGGCGGGATGAGGCTGGTAGCTATCGAAGTGACTGGAATAAAGCCCTGCTGCGTGATGTTATCACCTCCTGCTACCTCACTCTTCTAGAAAAAGTACGTGGATACATTCAGTTGCCAGTTGAGCAAGATGCTGCAGATCAGTATTCCACCTCGAGCAAAAGTGAAATCACGAAGATGCTAACTTTCTATGAAGGACTGTTTCCCAGGTATCCTTTTGAAGATTCACACTGGAAGACATTAGCTGATTCCGTTTACGAGGAAATGTGCAAGAGGGAAGCGCCCCTTATTCCGGTAGCGAGATGTTCGAAGGCTGATTCAGGTCTCCATACTAAGAATTTGAACGGATCCGCCAGGGTCCAAGTCACATGGTTTCCACCGCAAGGCACAGGCAAGAGACAAACATACTTCAACAATCTCGAGATAAAAGGCTATTTTTCTTATGTTCCACCCAAGCCATATATTGGTATGGAGGAGAGAAAAAAGAAGGAGGAATTCCGCATCAAAGAAAAAAACAGATTCGAAGAAATGTTGCTGGACACTGGTTTTAACTTGGTCGCACTATCAGTTCACTTATTTTATTCATTTAGGGAGGCAGGAGTAGAGGTGTGCTGCGTTTCTCCTTTGGCAGTGATGGACTTTTTCAAGTCCTTCAATGATAGTAACCCGTTGTGCAGTATTGGTGATGTTCCATGTCCCGTCCACAAGAGTCCATTTAAAGACGTAAGAGAAGTTATCCGCATTCTGAAGTACTGCAAAGGCGATGATCAATTTCTGGAGAATCTGGAGGGTCTTCCATTGCTCCTTACACAAGATAACTATTTGCGTGTCTTTAGTAAGAGCGAACCTCGATGTTTGAGTCATTACTGGGATATTTTACCACAATCAACTGCCCTGTTTGTGCACAAGGAGGCACTCAGCGGTGTTTTTAACATAGCTGATTTGAAAAAGACTTCCGTTTTCCGATCCTTGGATATAGAAATATTCTCCTCTCAATTGCACTTAACTCTTCCTGAACGTTTTTGTACCGAGAATCGCTATATAAGGTGGTATCCTGAAGACGACCCACAGTCCACGGCCTTACCGAACCGTCGTTGGATTTTCAGGGTTTGGCATTTCTTGCAAAAGTTTTTCAGTGATAAACTGAAAGACGTAAGTGCGGAAGAACTGAAAGATTTCACAGAGGAAAAGGACATTTCCTTCGCTCGTAACCTACTCGTCCCGGCATTGGCTTCGTGGTGCATTCTTCCAGCAACAGGAACGAGCCGGTGCAACGGAAGTGAAATCTCAAGCCGTTTGACCACTGTGGGTGACCGAAAAACAGGTGCAGATCATTTTTTGGTGCCCTTGAATATCGCAGAATCGGTTCTCGATTTTAAGGATTGTGGTCAATCGAGCGAGACGTTGGTTGAGGCCTTAAGATGCCTGGGTTTGCCAGAGCTTAACAGTCTTATACTGTCAACATCATTGATAGATTCAACCTGCCACACCAAACTAGAATCGTACAAACTTGCGCGAAATCTTGTAGCGACAATGAAGACACCCCATTCCCTTCTAAAGGCGCTCAATCAGAAGCTGAAGACTAATCCTTCGTCCCTTGATGATAAACTAAAGCGTAAGGAATCTATTGAAGTTTTGGAGTATTTTGGGCGAAACACCAAGGCTCTGGTATACGCTGACGTACACATTCTAAAGAATCTTCCATTCTTTCCAAAGGCGAGCGGACAGCTTGGAAAAGTTCAAGACCGGGATGTCTTTGTTCTCCCTGGTGGGATCCCAAAAACTGAAATGGTTGTTGTTGAAGACAAACTTCATTGTTTCTTCGTAGAACCGTGCCAAAGTCTGTTAAACTTATATGAATTCCTGAAATTTCAGCAAGTAACGCTATCAAATGTTTACCTAAATTTCATTTTAAAATGCTTTCAATATCTTAGTTTCGAAGGGAAGCTGGATCACCTTCAATTTCTTCAAGCCTTTTTGTCTTCGGTAAGTGCAACAGAAATTGAAAGCGAGGACTTCGAGAAGAAACAGCTTGTGAACTCTTTAAAGAGAACTGAAATCATCCCAGCTCAGGATGGTTGTTGGAAGACAGCATCCAATTTCTACGATCCCCGCAATGAAGTATTCCGTGCAATGCTATCAGAAGACAGTTTTCCACCGGAGCCGTTTAACTCTGGCGAATGGCTTTCATTTTTTGAGAAGGTAGGCCTTATAAAAGATGTTTCAGAAGACGATTTTGTTAACTTTGCTAATCAAGTGGCACGTGAAGCCCAATCAGAAAGAACAAAAGAAACTTTCCAAAAATCTCATGCTCTGGTGCAACACCTCTTCTCTCGACCCAATGTGGTAGGCGAAGGTCTTTTACACCGTGTATGTGATATTCCATTCGTGGTAGCAGATCCTGTAGAAGAATCACTGGAAGAATTGTGCACTCCGTTTTGGGTGAGACAAGGCGCACAAATTCCATTTATTGCATTCAAAGATGCAGTCTTCAACGAATTTGAAAAAATCGTTTGGACGAAGGCGCATTTGCTTCCAGAGTCAGCAGATCCAAGAAAGCATCGCCATAAGCTGTCAATTGGCTGCAATCATCGAAAAGTTGATCGGTACCTTCAGGCATTTCTCACACAGCTTTGTGTTCGGATGAAGCCATCTGTTGGTCTTGTTATTAGTCACTGCCAAACCGTCACCGCAAGAAGAAATATCACAGCTGACCAGAGCCCCGTGATAACAAGGGTTATGGAAAGTATTTATGCATTTCTGCAAGAAAACGCGATCAAAGACCATGAAGCCAAGGTGCTGCTCGAGACCTCACGGTTTATCCTCGTTGAGGGAGGGAGCACGTTCATTCTTCCAAAGCAAGCGGTCATCGAACTCTACGAGAGTCTTGAGATTAAGCCATTTCTGTACAGAATTCCATCAGTATTTGGAAAGTTCCAGGCTTTGTTTGAGTTTGTTGGCTGCTCTCAGACTGCAACCTGTACACATTACGCCATGGTATTAGAGATGATGCATCGGAACTGTAAGGATTCCAAACTGATCCCAAACGAGGTTACAACATGTGAGAAGGCTGTCAAAGGATTCTTCGACCATTTGCAAGATGACTCAGGAGCAGTATCGACTCTCTCTAAATTGTACCTCCCAGCAATGCCCTCCAAATTTTGCCTGTCAAATGTTCATCTAAAGGTCAGCACCATCCCTGTTACATTGCATCAATCAACGGAGCTTTTGTTTGATGATGACCCATCCTATGGCAATCGAATCACGAGTCTTAACCAGCTATTTGTGCTTGAACTCAGTCTAATGGGCGTACGCCTTAAATCAGCCATGGTAAACTTTTCAGATCTAGTGCGAAAGTTACCCTCTGCCGTACAACCTAGGATGCTTTCAGCTGTGGTGAAGGAGAAAATTGAAGATCCCAAAGAAACAAAAATAGTCAAAAGCGGAGTAGTCAGCACAGTTAAACAGCAGATTTCTTCTATCCCTTTTGTTCGGGGAGTTGCAAGAATTATACGGCATGTCAACTACCAGAACCAAGATTTTGACGAAAGAGTCGTTGAAAGCATTGAAGAAGGTCTCCGGAGCATCGAGTTATTTGCTGTTGAAGGTCTTAGGACCTCTCTCTTTCTTAATGAAGTTCAGATCCCAGGAAGTGAAGCTAATGTTCCTTACTTTGTAGAGAGGCGGGAGCAATCTGGAGTGGGGATATGCAGAGTATACATCGATGCGTTGTCTGATATGAATGAAACCATTTCAACCATATCGGACGTAATTGAGGAAATGTATGGAGAGTTTCTTCAAAGGAAGGCGTATCTCATTGGTGAGATTCTTCGTTGCCCGCCTTCGAGTATAAGGCCATTGTTGGATAGAAAGAGAGTTCGTAAAGATGACAGCTACACCACGGCAGATTTGGGTATCTATCCAGAGCCCGGTTCATTGATTCCAACTGAAGACCATCATCTGCTAAAAGACGCTTTTGAAGAATTTGAACCCGGAGAGTACGTTGGTTATCAGCTACACGACCCAAGTCTAGCCCAGCGGAAAGGCACTCCAACATACATCTACGCTATAATAGTAGACGAGATAAACAGTGAAGATACTGTTATCTTGACAAAGGCATACCGAATCAACATTGGACAAGACAAAGAAGCAGATGAGGTCAGTGCTGCTATGCTGTATAAATTTCACCGCTTGCAAGAGATATTTGAGGAACAGGACGAGGATATTGAAGAAGTGCTTAAAGAGATCTCAGAAAACCTCCAGAACGCATGGGAAATGCCAGAGGACGAGAGAACCCAAATTGTCAAGCGCCTGTTCATGCGTTGGTTTCCGAGAGAGGATGCTTTGCAGCATTTAAAGAAAGAAGTTTCTCGGCTCGGTGGCTGTTACGATGACTTGTATTCTTCATGGGAAAAGCTTGCAAAAGAACATGGTTCACAGCGAGAAACTTATAAAGTACGCTTTCGCGATCGTTATGGGTCATCGGATCATAGTCGTTGGCAAAATGTTCCCCCAAGTTTCTGCGAAAAAAATCCTCAACCCGGAGAGGCCAAGCGTTGGTTGAGACAAGCTGAAGCTGACCTTGACTCCTGCGGTAGAGCCTTTACCACAGACTCATTTGAGTGGATTTGCTTTAAATGCCACCAGGTAATTAGTGAAAAAAAATGCATTTCTTTATCTTTTTAGTTTGTTTTTGTTCTTGTTGTTTTCATAAAAACTGCATACTTAGTTATGGGAATTACAGATGAGCGTAATTAAGAGACCAAATAAATTTAGCTTGAAGTGGACTGGCTACCAGTTTCTTGTTACTGATCTTTATTTTCTGAACCGGGTTAAATTGGTGTTCTGTAGCTAGGTACATATGGTTTAACGCTTGCTTGGTATGTGTCGTAAGTTGATTTATTTCTTTTCCTCAATTTCACTTTGTTAGCACTGCTAGAAGACTTGTTTAGGGATGAAGGGATCTATCTTGACGCTTTGTTTGTTCTATTGTTAGCTTGCAGTTAAAAATGAAATCGCTAAATCTGTTTCGTTTCAGTCCAAATTTGAGTTATTGAATTATAGAGAATGGCCGTTTTTGATCTTTACTTACTTCGCAGAGCTTAACCATTTTAAGCTTTTTTATTCTTTGCAGGCAGCCGAAAAGGCCGTGAAGGCTGTGCAATACAACGTGGACGCAAATCAGAAGAAAGACGACCACAATTTGCCACGAAATTGTAATGGTTTTGATGATTCTGTGTTAAGCGATCTAGCAGTCCAGCTTGAATGTCTGGTGATTAATTCAGCTCACATGCGTTATCCTGACAGAATGTTATACCCCAAGATACCCCATGACGTATACACAGCAGCGCAGGCGGAGGGAGCCTTTAGAATAGCGACAAAGATTCTGGAGAGAGTTCGAGTGAAACTGGATTAAGGTGGGGCTTAACGATACTGCCACTGATTTCATTTGAAGGTTTAAAAGGTTTAAAGGCTTCTGTATAGTGGAAAGTGCAGCTATTTTACAGAAATTAGTCAAATAATTAGAAACAAATATCAGTATTCCAAACACAACATAACAGGGTTGAAAACCCAAACTGGCAGGAGGCATCCAGTTGGCTATTTACAAGCATGGCGGAGGATTTGAACTTGGGACGACTAAGGACAAATCCCGTAAGTGGCCGTGAGGGAGCGGGACACACACCCGGGACCGCCGGGTTGCGAGTCCTACGCGATTACCACTCGGCCACGCTGCCTCCTATTTCTTTCATTTGAGTTTTATCAACATAAGTAAAAAGTAAAAATGACTTTTAGTTAGGACATTCGGCTACCATCGATTAAAAACTAACTCGTCCCAAATTTTGAAAGAAAAAAGCTATTCGTTCAGTAGTTTAGCGTCTTTACTCAAGAAAGTGGTTTCGAATTACATGAACCTCAGTTTCAGTTTCAGGATAAATAACGGAAAACTACTAAAATTTTGGCTGGCAATACCAATTATACCATTCCAATGCCTTAACACGTCGATATAATTATGTTGTCCAAACTCGTTACGCTACGGTGTTGAAAATTTAGCGTCGTGTAAATATTTTAGTTCCAGGCGTTAAAATCAATGTGGCACAAACTCTTGGTTTAAAAATGTGCTGGTTGTAGCTGTTGAAACGCCATCGCGTGGTTACACGTAAAGTCAATATTGGAGTCACTATTGATGCTGGGGATCTGAAACAAGTGTTTATTTTTCAGGCCAATATAATAATTTTGACGTTTTACACTCACACGTAATTCAAATTAAAATAAATCTCACTGTACGAGCAACCGCTCTACTATTAACTCTTAAAGTGCTCAAAACGGTCCCTTCCTTGTCCGTTCGTGTTTTGATCTTCTCGACTCTTGCAAAACGTATCTTATAAAGTGATGAAGAAATGAGGTTGGTTGGCTAAATTTTACTTTTCCCTTTTTTCTTCTGTCATGTTATGCAGGCGAATAATCAAGCTACTTTTGAGAAGCTATTCCAGTCTGCAAATTCCAGAAGACTCAAATTTAGAAGAGGTCCAGTATAGACGTGTGTATCAAAAGATTGTGGTGCCACTCGCGATCGAAGATTATTCGACACAATCTTTGACTAGCTTTATTAACTACTTACTCCATAATTTTTCTACGATATTATTGAAGTATCTAGTCAAACGCATTGTTTATTGTTTTATTGATTTTGAAGCATTTTGCTGCGTGTTTGTGTTTGTAGCTTTGTGAATCATGTAGAAACACCATTGGGTTTTTTTTGTTAGTGTTTAACTGTCAAAGCTTAATGTCAACGCTATTTTTTATTTTAGTTTTATATTTGTATTTCTTTGCATGAAAAAAAAATAGCTTTAAATTAGTTCAATTGGCAATCATGTAAGAAACATAAAAGCCAGCTTTTACAAAAAACTTTGACTCTTGCGAAATGACAAGTTGTTCAGTACTAGAATAACTTTCTCGTCGAAATTTTCACCTTTAACGTTTTTCTTTTTTAAAAGTACCAATGCAACACACCCTGCTTCTTTACAAATTAGCAGGTTTTAAAGCTTTTTTTATTTAGGGACTACAAAATGTTAACTATTTAGACAAAATAGCACATTAGTAGCGCTGGTATCGAATGAGTTCTTGGTACATGGGACGTACATGACCTGGTTAATGCAAAAGTTACGGGATGCAAAAAGTAAACACCATCAGAGATGAGAAGAGCATTAGAAAAGTAGCTTGAAACCAGTTTTGACACCCTTGACCTAAGATGGGTGTCGACTGTGGGCAAAATTATCAGGGTTTGTATATGTCGGAAAAGTTCTGATTTTTTTTTAAAATTATTCATGTTACATTTTCTCCGTTTTTGATATACTAATTAGACACCCCTTTTTATTGCTCTTTTCATCTCTAGTGCTTTTAGGGATATATTCCATATTTTACCGTGGAATCACTCACGTGATTCGTTTTGCAGTTGGAATCTGGAATTTTTTGTTTTCTAGTGAGATCTAAATTAAGCGTGACTTTGTTATCGTAAAACATGTAGTTAATTAATCGCGCCAGTGCCGTCGATGTTTCAGAACCAAACCGTTGATAACTTTCATAATTTCTGTCCATGGTTTTCGCTTAGTTTCTTGTTTACGAGTAATAACTAAGATAAAGGAAAGTTATTAATTTCGGGGCGCTATTAAGGGGGTATCTTTTCCACAGATGGTCGCCACTTTGGTGATACATGATAGACTTGCATCAACATTTAACATTTCCTTAGGGGATTTTTGCAGTAATCGTATTTTATAAATTAGATTAGTATTACGTTAAGTACATGTGCGGAGTAGGAGTAAACTCACCTAATTTGTCTCTTGAAGTGAAAGTTAGTACAAATAAAAGTAAACGTTACAGTTTGTTCCAGTAAAATCCTACTCTCTTTGCTTATAGCTAACCAGCCTGAACATCTTTTAAAATGCGCATTACAGCGTAAACATTAAAAAAAAAATCAGAAACCCAAAAATTGATTGGCAGTATTAGCTGTCTTTTTACTCTGGGTTCCAAAGGATATCTTTTTCTCATCGATCCGACTGATGGTTCTCGACGAAGCCGCATCAAAGAGGCGCGAGCCCTATCAAACCGTGAGCACGGTTCATTTCATCTTAGGTATTTTGAGAACGGAAATCTACCCAAAATGGAAACCGAGGGTTGTTTGGCAGCAATGGACAGCTGCTGGTTTCAATACGTACCTACAGACTTAAATAGTTGGAGACCATCCGAGACACGCGTGAGAAGAGAGACCACCGCCGCCTCTTTAATCTTTATCCTTAATTTCTCATACCCCGGCAATGCTAGCCGGCGTTGAAGACGTAATTACACCTCGGTTAACCAGAGTTTAGTTTTGTTTGTGACGCAGGCTACAGCAATGCAGGCTAAGGCAATGAATCAAACGTTGATATTGATCGTGTGTACTGACCCATAGAAACGTCATTGACAACAAATTCCGAGACTAATTTTTAAGGCGTGTTAAATACAAAACGCTCGTCTATTCCCACAGTAGTAACAACGGACATTAGCGCATTGAAGTTTGCACCACTTTTTTCCGTTCTCATGCAGTGACTCGTTAATTTACAGTGTGAACTATAATCTCTTCATACTTTGTGTCCACTCTCTGAGGATATTGTAACAATCGCTGAATTTATTATCATCTCCTTTGGCTTATACACCAAAGTTGCACAATCTAAGGAGAGAAAGCAATTACCAAATTACCTTTAAATTTTTAGACTCTGTAGAATTTCATTTCAACAAAGTGATGTACAGCACTTAGCTTTTCAATTAGTGATATTGACTTCATTCAAAGGTATAGCAAAAGCCCGGGGAGTGGGGGCGGGGAGTCCACATATGAAAGGGGATGCTCGTCGGAAATTTTGAATTAAACCCCTAAAGGAGACCGATCTGGGCGTGGCCCAAGCTTTTTTTGACCCCTAAAAGAGACCATGTTAAAACACAGACAATGTATATATGTCTATGTTTTTTGGCGTGCAGCCTTAAACGAGACCTCCACGGCTAAATATGATGGTGTTTTGCCCAGAACACCCTAAGTGAGACCAAAATCCGAAATTTACACCCCTAAGTGAGACGACGAGCATCCCCACCACTTTCATATGAGGAGTCCCCCTCGGCGGCGTCAAGCTTTAACTATTATGATGGTCTATAATATGGTGTAAAACGTCCTATAAACCTTTCTTGCAGCCAAAAAGAAAATAAAGTCACTTTTGTCATAGCCCGAAAAAACACCTGACATTTCGCAACGCCACCACTGCGTGGCTTCCCCGTGAAATGACGTCTGAGAAACGAGCGTAGAAATTCCATACTGATGACGCACGGTACCCAGATCTTGGTAGTGCTTCTGACTGATTGAAAATTTTCTTCAACTGAGCAAAAGTACAAACCAGATCTAGGTAGTAGTGCATCATTAGTATGGAATTTCTGCACTCATTTCCGGCTTAGACGTTATGTTGCGGGGAAACCAGAAGTGACCATGCGAAATGACGACTGTTTTCTCAGGCTACTTTTGTTCAAGAGTGTTAAAATAATCTCTTATTTGCCAAATATAGAAAAGAACAAAAGTGGCCCGGTTGGGCGGGGCATTGCTCTACAAAGGGAGTTCCACAGCTAAATGCTACTGGTTGGCCCTTCTTTGCGTCTGGTCAAAAAATCAGGTCCAATAAATACAGAAGTCGTGGAAGCCAACCTAGTGTGATATAATAGTCTAAAATGGTGTTGATAAACTGAAAACAAACCTTTAAAAATCTTAGTGACCTTGTCTTGTATTAGCTTTAACAAAGCCTTGTAACCGTCTCTGAAATCCGACAGAAACGTACAGAAGAGCAGTGGGTTTATAGTCGGTGGTAAAAACGCCGCTGCAATGACATACTGGGAGAATTCCGTACTGATATTGTATCCAGACATGATGCAACTAATAGCCACCTGAAACAAAAAGAACCAAGGCATGGTCACAAAAACTTTAACCTAGAGTTTTTGAGTCAGAAAGCTTTTGTGCAAAGCCGGGACCCACTACTCCACGGAAAGACCGAAGGTGCCTTTGACTGACTTTAGTCTGGACATCAACTAGTACCAATGCACTGCACACCCCCTCTTCCGGGGGGAGGAGGGGAATGGAGCAATGTATAAATATTGTCTCGTAGTCGAGAAAAGGATTTTAAACAGGTTAGGAAACCGGGAAAAACATCGAAATTCACATCTGACTGAGCCTAATGCTATTGAGCAAAATCTATCTTTCACACTCATTAGCATGTAAAATAACATTTGATGCGCGGGCCCTAGTCTTAAATTTGGTCAAGATCGGCTATCTTTTATAGAAATGTCATTTGTGGTGTGAAGAAATGGAGTTTATAGTTCATAGTTAATCTGGGTTGTAGCCATAGAAGGGGC